TCTACTATATAAGAGAAGATTTTTATACAATAAAAAAAAAAAGCAATACCTTTGTTGACTTATTCTCGTGATTTTAAGGGATTTTAGTATAACTCACCAAGGTCAAGTTAAAAAAAGAACAAAGAAACCAGATAAACCAACCAGGCACAGTCGAAAGAAACCAGATTACATGAAGTACTGAATATCAGCTGTTCAGCCATTAAATGCATTAACCTGAATGATGCACATTTAAAATTCTATTCAAAAACGCACTATTAATCCCAAAGGGAGATTAAATATACATTATACCAATGTAACACCTCAAAAGGTTAAAGACACGGTTTGATGCATTAATAGAAACAATCTTTGAACTCAATGAAGAACTGAAAGCACATTATCTCCTATATAATGTAGCCCATAGTTAAAAAATAAATATATATATATATATATATATATATATATATATATATATATATATATATATATATATTTCTTTGGATAGAACATTTCTAAACCAATTCTATCTGAATGATTAAATCTCATTGCATCTGTGAAGGGCCTGGAAATTATATGTGTTATGAATTAGGGTTATACAAATAAACTGAAGTGAATTCAATCAATGCATCAGTCAATCAAAGATTAACATTAATCACACAAATATGTTAGACAGGGAAGAACAATATTATAAAATGTTACGACAGCATTGTAAATTCATCGAATTCCAGACCAGTTCAGAGCTTTTTAAAGAACATCGACAGGTAGGCCTGTAACCTTTCTGATCGATACCTATGTAGCTATTTTTAACTGTGTTTTCCTGTTATGTAAAGCACTTTTAATTGTCTTGCTAAAGAATTCAGCATTATGATTAACCTTTGTCTGCCCATGTTGGTCAGTTTTAACAGCAGTTATGATAAGTTTTACAAAGATGGATTCTTAAACCTACAAATGCATCCCAAAAGTAAGAATATATATTGTGTGATTTCTTATCTAGGGCTGCAACTAACGATTATTTTGCAAATTGATTAATCTGTAGAATATATATATGTCGATATATATACGTATATTAATAATCGGATAGGGAAAGGTTCCTTAAAGAAGACTTTTTACGAAACTAAACCAGGTGAAACTAAAACTTTTCCACTTAAGTTGGAGTTCTGGATAGAGCATACTACTTTTTTTTTTTTTTTTTTTTATCTTAACTGCAAAATGTTTATATAGATTTTTTTTTACAACTTTGATGTAATTACTGCTCTGGGCCACTCTGTCCGTAACAGGTATAATTTAAAGTCTCTATACTCCAGTAAACAACTAATCGATTATTTATAAATTATTTGGTGAGTTTTTTTCAATAATCGATTAATCACAATTATTCCAATAATTATTTCAGCCCTATTCTTATCAATTATCTGAAAATGTGTGAACTATGTTTTGTTCAATCAGCTGCTTTGATAAAAGCGATCATAAATTATTTTTCTAGTCATCAGCAAAACAAATGAGAAAAAAACAAGAACTTGTTTTTCATACTATTTATGTATCTGGGTTAGGGCTGAAACAATTAATCTTGATTGATCTATTATTGGAATAATCGTCAACTAATTTAGTAATCGATTGTTAACTGGAGTATAGAGACTATAAAACATACCATTAGCTGATAGTGATCCAATTAGAGCAGTAATTATACCAACATTTAAAACAAATATGTAAATATTTTGCATTCAAAATACCGGTAATAAAAAAGAAAAAAAGAAAAAATGTCATCTGTCAATATGCTCTATCCAGAACTCCTCATGTGGAAAACTTTTACTGCTAAACTTGTGAAAGTAAAATCTGTTGGGCTCTTTTTGGCTGGCATCAAGACAATTATTCTTATTGCCACATTGCCAGACAGGACACTGTAAAAAAAAACTTTTACTGTCACCTGGATTAATTTAATAAAAAAGCTTATTTAAGGTACCTTTGGATACCTGATTATTGATCAATTACTTGAAAAAATAATTTTAAGATTTGCAAAATAATCATTAGTTGCAGCACTAATCTGGGTTTAGAAAAGAGTAGAATGAAATAGACTATCTGGTGTTTACAACAGCAAAAAGATTATAGACAAAATTTTCACACAAATGTGGACATTAGGAAAATATAAAAGAATAACATAATAGTGATCAAGATAAAAATACTGTTCTGTAAATTGATTTAACAATATAAAAACTGTGCACCTGGATAATAAACGATCATTAAACAGCTATGGATATCTTTACAGTAATGGACATTAGAAAATAGCAGCAAGATGTGCAAAATGATAGCAGCATGTTATTTAACTAAGATAGAAACTGTGCTAAATCTGCATGAATGTAACAACTTATTAAAGTGTATATGTGGAGGATATCTTTTTGTTTAGGTTTTCTTTGGAGCAGCTGGTCACAGATGGTAAGAACGCCTTGGAGCCAAAAAAAAAGCTCAGAAGTGAACTCACACGTCCGGATAAGTGGGAGGGCATTTCACCAACAGCTCCACAGTCACGTAGCATTCCTCTCCATTATTCAGACCATTGGGCCGCAGGCAGAGGTGCACCTCTGGAGGCCTTTTAACCTGGAAATGATTTATGGTTATTACTGCTGCTTATCATACTCAAAAGAAGAGGAATACTAAGTTTAGCTCATAATTTTGAGCTCAAACCAATGTAATCAGGTAAACCCCCTCAGTTACCTTCCAAGGGTCCTGGTTTCGCAGATCCTGGAAATCATCTCCAAAGATAGAAGCAAGAGCTTCTAGTTCATGCTCCTGCTGCACAGTGTAGTCCTCTGTCCGATCTGTAGGAGTGTGCTGACCGCTCATTCTCCTGCCTCTACAACTACATGGCAGCGACCGTCAGAAAGAGGAAGACCAGGAGCTACCGAAGCACGCGCTAAAATACTTCAGAAAGCTCCAACTTTAGCGCTTTAAACACTCGACGTAGCGAAAGGAAGTTGCGTTAGTTTTTAATCTGCAGTTCAAAACTGTTGAGGACCAACCATAACAACAGTGAACCTGGCGCATGGCTGATGCAAACTGCTGCGTGTGTCGCAGGAAAAACGTCACCAAGTTGTTTTTCCAAAAATGGCCTCTAGAGGGCGCCAATCAGTGCTCTACCTCTTCTGCGGTTCGT